TGAGCAAATGACGCTGAAAGAGACCAAGTGGCCTCACATGACAAAACTAGGGCACACAGAAGTCAACTGACAGCAAGTGGAGAGGGAGGCCTTTGCAGAGAAGGGGGTCCTGTGCTGAAAACCATCTGGATGGTTGGCACAGATTTAGGAATTTTAAACATTAAAGTGTTAGTTTGAGGTCTTTTCTTCTCTAGATAAAAAGCAACTCTCTCCTATTCATTCACAGAACTGAGTCTGAAAATATACATAACCAAATTCAAATCCGATAAACAAATGCTAACACAAACTGCATAATTACGGCTATTTTTATGATTAGCACCGTTTAGTTTCCCTGAATTTACCAGAGCAAACATTGCTACAGCAAAAATTACTGCTAATGGTTGAGCCTAACAACAAGAGAAAGTCCCCCAAAGGGTCACTTGGGCCCCAGCTACAGCTGTGCTTCACTGTATTTCTTACTTGAAAGCTGAGAATTAGCAGGAAAATTCGGCTCTGCCGTGCTGTGCAGATGTAGCTATGACTTAATTTATTCAGCAAACATTTCTTTAGTGCCTCCTATGTGCCAAGCAGTGTGCTAGCCACCCTGGCATTGCAGGAATAAACCCTACCCAGCATTCTCAAATAGCCAACTTTTATGAGTGACATAAGACATGTAGCAGAAACAAAGGGTTGAATTAGAAGAGTCTTAAGGCTGCAGCTTCATAGGATGTGCTAAGTAGATGGATATTCACTTCTGATCACTGGGGTAGGAGGGGATCCAGTTACATGACGAGAACAGAGGCCTGGATGTTTTCTGGGATAGAAGCTGGTATCTACTCCAAAACCGGGAATATAAGAGGATGAGCAAGTTTACGGGATAGAGACATTTTACTTCAGAAATGACTGACCGATTTGCTTATAAAAGACTCTAGTGTTTAGGACATTATATTAGCAGATGTCCGGATATGAGATAGATTGGAGAGCTTTAGCATGTTGCTGTTACAGTACGTATTAGTACCACCAGCAGCAACAAGCTGCAGTTGCTCATTTTGAGCACCTACCATGTGCCGGACTTTCACAAACACTTCACAGGCGCCATCTGATTTAATGTCATGACAACCTTCTTATCACAGAGCCAGGATTTGAACATAGGCCTGGGAAACTTCAAAACCAAGATTCTCTCATTGGTCGCCATTTAACCACCTCATCAACATAACAGATCTGTCTGTTCCTCTGTACAACCTGGGCTGAGATCCTCAGCCTTCCTGGGGCTAGGGCTCTAGTGTGTCCACTCGCTTCTGCCCCCACCAGTCAAAAATTACATGTTTACTAAGAGGCAGAACAGCTCTACTTATTATTATAAATGTGTATTTTAATGAAATATCTAATTCTGTAAGTAGTATGAGTGTAGAGGAAGTGTGTCTGTGAAAATGAGATAAAATGCTTAGGGAAGATTCAGTAAAGACAAGAAAATTTCAGTAGCTCAAGAAAATTAGATGTGAGAAGGAAATGTAAGAGATATAAACCATAGACACCTAGCGGAAGGTTACACTCGTTCTGCCTTGCAAATAGGGTTTTTGTCCACTTTAAGACACTGCAGTAATTCTACAGACTGTACGCTCTAGTTCTGGTTTACATAAGAAAGAGTGCGTGAAACATCAGTCAGCCGGTCCGTAAGCTAAATCTTTTGAAGGAGATTTCTATGCTCTCGCCCAGGGTGAGCATGTTATGAGAGAAAAGAAGAGGATAAGAACTTTGGAGCCCATCAGAGACACTCTTCAAATCTTCAAAGTGAATTGAATGATAATGTTCAAAGATGTGGAAGGGGAATCTCAACACTACAGGATTATGCACTAGGGTTTTGGCTGGGGAAATATGAAAGGAATGTATTTCTGTTTTTTTATCTGCAGAGCTTTAGCTCATGTAGACCGCAGGCAGCATCGCATAGGAAAAAGAGCATGGGCTTTGGAATATGTTAGATGTAGCTTCAAGCAGATAATTGAACGTCTAACCTTGGGTAACGTCTCTGATTCTCAGTTTCCTCAAATTAAGATGGCAGAGTAATAACCTATATCACCCAGTTTTTAAGAAATGCACAGTGTCAGGCACACAGTAAGTTATAAAAATAATTGTTATTAATTTTTTGCCCCCTTTTTTTGGGGTGGGGCTATTAAAAAGTATAAGCTAATAAGCAAGAAGGCAAACAAGGAGATGAAAAGGAACATGTACTGTCCCTTCACTCCTTACACGAAGAACTATTCTTGCAAGCTGGGACAAAGAACTCTTCAAGGGTCTGTTTATGAAAGATGTTGAAACTGGCTAGAAATAAAGATAAGGAAATGGATGCCGATGGAATACTTTGTTGTAGCAGTTGCTTTTTTCTACATCATTGTCCATCATCCTTTGTAAACTTCAGATTCAGTTCAATCTAATTTTGAGGTTTATGGAATTCTGCTAACATATCATTCTATGTAATTTATTTCACTTGCAGATTTACCGAAAAGTAATGCCCATTTTCAAAGTAGATAAAAGAATCAGATGCACACATTATTCTTCGTCTACTAGATGTAACTGTTAAACCCCTAGGTGTTTGGGTTCTGTAGTAAATGCCTCCTTTATTCTAAAGCTGGTTCAGGATGGGAACAGTAACTGGTCGGTGAGGGAGAACAGCAACATGAGTTTTTAAACGCTCTATCCAGAGCCTCTAATAAGTAATTCATATAATCAAGACAGTAAAAGACATATCTGATCCTCAGCATGCTTATAAGACTAATTAGAAAGAGCAATGTTAGTAAATAAAAAGATGAAATGGAAAATAAAAAGTATTTTAGCAGAGTTGCAGGTTATTTGGATATTGAGACAGAAAATTGGCGAAGTCAAAAAATAAAAGAATCAAGAGGAAGACTTCTTAATAACGTACATTTATGAAGATAATGTACATTTCAACTCTTATGTTTAAAAAGTGCTACATCATTGTCAGACTTTAAATTTAGCTTAAGATTTTATTGAGTCACTCATGATATTTATCACATTGATGATATAGAAGTAAACTTTATATACCTGGTTTAGGCCTTCATAATAAAAGTGTGGCTGTGCTGCTAGTTGTAATTATAGGGTTAAAAACAAGCACAGCGTTTTATGCCTCTAAATCAAAACTCTCAGCAAGGTGTCTTGAGATTGTGCACGTACCAGCCCTGCTACATTCCTACTGATTAACATCGGCTGGATTTATAACGTTTCTCTTGGTTCTAAATACATATAGAAATTGGAGGTGAATTAATTTACAGACTATCACAGAAAAAAAAAAACACCCCATATCAAATCTGGAAAAAGAGTTCTGTTAAGATTTGTAGGATCTAATTATACCAACAAGTGGGAGCTCTCTGGAACCAAACAGCCCCACTCTTCAGCTACCTTTCCTGTCGGGGCCTAGGACACTGGGAATGGTAGTTATAGCTTGGATTTTTTAAACACTGGTTTCTGATGAGTCCTAGACTTCCAGGTACTTTTATACAAATGCCACCTCAGTCAAGGTCTTCATGATAACAACCTCTGTGTGGGGAGTAGAGTCTGAAGAATGCCAAGACAGTTTGTTCATTGTGAACAATGGCCCTCGGATTCCTCACTAGAAATTGTGTCTACTTCTGGGCTCCATGATTTAAGAGAAATGTGGAAAACTTAGAATCAGAGTATAGGTTCAGAGATAATCACATGAGAATTCTGCAGTTGTTTTACCTCAAAAGAAGTCAGAATGGCAGTTTAATAGTGATCTTCCAGACGTGAGGAATTATTACATTGAGGTTCATGATCATATTTCCTTCATATGCAAACATAGTGAAAGAAATGGAGTTTCAGCTCTAGCAAGAGCATAGCAAGGAACCAAAAGAAAAAAAGAAAAAAGCAATCAGATGCTAAGCCTATTTAACCAAAGGAATAGATCACTCACTACACTGTTTATGAAAGTTTTTTTAAAGGCAGTATGACTTCTTATCTGTTTTATGTTTTAGATGGGACTACCTGACGGAGCAGAGATGAATTAAATGAACTTTGTTTTTTGTTGAATCGGTGATTTATCTTTCAATTATATCATAAGCTATAGATCTCAAACAGTTATTTTGAATTAGCATCTCATAGCCCGATGTTGCCAGGAGCAGAGCTACCTTTTAATATTAAGGAAGTTAGTAGTGAGGAGGAACATTTATCCCAGGGTCATGAACTCAGATACCTTAGGGACCTGCAGATATCATGAAGGAGGGAAGGTAAGAGCATGGAACAATATGGAGTTACAGAAGCTGTGGTATTAGAAAGTGTGTGATCCAGCCAAAAGGGATAACTACTGCTGACTCTGGCTAATTGTTATCATATTATAATGTGCTTTCTCAAGAAAAACTGGAAACCTAGAATATTATGTGAATTTTTTTTTTTTTAGCATTGACGAAATGCTAAGATTTATCATAGTACCCTGCAGGCAAAACAATACACTCATGTGGACTGTAAATTTAGAAACCTTGGGGTTATCCTTTAGGTCAGTAGTTAACCACATTAGTTAAATAAATGAAACAGAATGATTGCATTCTACAGCTTAGGTGAATTCATCTACTACACTTTTGTAGGATTTAATTAAGGTCCCTTTCAATTCTGTGAATCTTTTGATCTCCCCTTCCTTTTTCTGCGCGCCTAGTATCGGGTGACTTATTCACATGGGCGATGAGAATTTAAAGGAGTTATTTTATTTAATAAAACCATCAAATACTTAGGTTAAGAGCAATTCTTGTTGCTATACTAGAGATGCTGATGAGGACAGTAGCTTTTCAGAAATGCACTTATACATGGCATAGACATGTCACTTTGAGTTTTTGAACTAACATTTGTTTATTAACATCGGCTGCATGAGGCATGCTTGACTTAAAAGCCTACTTACACTTTTACCACTTTATTTCTCTTTTATAAAAACTATTTTCCAATCACCCGTCTCTCCCTGGGGGAGGGCGGCTAGAGTTCTGAAACCCCCTTCCTTCCAGACAGGAGACTATGCCACCGATGAAGAGGAGGATGAGGAGGGGCCCACCCTTCCCGGCAGTGACATGGCCATTGAAGTCTTCGAGCTGCCCGAGAACGAGGACATGTTTTCCCCATCAGACCTGGACACCACCAAGCTCAGTCACAAGTTCAAAGAGGTAAGCTGCTGGTCCGCAAAGTACTTTTTATAGCCGCCCATTTCATTATTAAGGATGTATTTTTGTTTGAAAAATGTAGTAAGATTTATCAGTTTTCATAATAGAGCCTTTTCATAAAGAATTATCTTGAATCACATTGAATGTCAAGGTAAAATTTAAGTGGCTCTTGCTCCACAATCATTAATTTAAACCCTTGTTATTTGTCATAGTGACAGTTTATAACTTGCCTATTCCATAATTTCAAGCTGTAGCTTAAATGTGCGGTTTTCATGATAAGTTCATGTTATATTCTTTCAGTTTTATAGGAGTTTGGGGACCTGGTGATAAGCTTTCCTCTAAGACAGTGGTTTGAAGAAGTTGGGTTTTTTTTTTCCTTTTCCTAAAATAGATAAGATCCCAACAGCAGTCAGATGATATAACCAAATGGTTTAATTGAAGAAAATAGTGAATGAACTTCAAACAATGCTAGTGGAACTACCAAGTGAAGGTGAAGCTGTTGCCATCTTTTGGCTTAATGGTAAAGAGGGAGATGACCTTTTTGGAAAGAGGGCCATTCAACATCTGCAGCTTTTTAAGATGCAGCCACTGCTAAAAACTACATCTTGCGGGCAAGGTTGATGTATACCCAGTCCCTTCTCTCTTTCTACTGATACCTCCCATGAGTCTAAGACAGGCAGGGGAGTCAGAGATGCCTCTTGAAACCTGAGATCAGTGCTCTCAAGGCAGGAGCTGTCTGAACTATTCAGAACTCCAAGACCTAAAAGAGAAATAGTGGTGAATGTGTCCACAGGCAATTTATTCTTCATTGTTTTAGGGAACATCCTCCATTGTGAAGACAAGTACAGTATGTTATTATTTACAGCTTCTCCAAATAATCATGAAGCACTGAGGCTCGAAAACCACTGTTCTGTGGTTTCAAGTCTGTTAGGGACTTGACCACTTCTGGGGGCGGGGGTGGGAGGTGGGGAATGTCCTATACTTGAAAAATAAATTTGATAATTGCAGATTTGTGATTACTGATTTTATTTGTAGTTTCTAATTTTCATTTGGAATTTTTAATTTTGCTATATCATAAATAGGTCAAGTTTATACATTCTGATGTTATGTTTTATATACCTAAAATGTTGACTTACCTTTTTAATTCCTATGACAAAATTTACATCTTTGAGACCAGTATCAAGGTGAATATACTTTTCAAGTATAAGTTTTTATGTAAAAACAAACAAACCAACAAACTTAAGTTCATTTTAGAGTTTTGGAAAATACAAATTATATAAATATAAAAAATCTCTCATAATCCCAATGTTGTGGTATTTGGGATTATATAATATAGGATGTGTTAAATTCCTACTCTTTATATTTAAATTTGTAGTGTTAGGATTTTCCCACGTCACCAAATGTTCTTCCAGAACGAATGCTTCTTCGCTATTTCATCTGACGGATTTTTCATGACTTATCTTTCTAATTCCTTTTTGGGGGAATATTTTCTTTACTTCCAGGTCTTCTTATAACTGTTATTATTAAAAGTAAAATTACAGTAATACCTTTGCACTTGTCTTTAGGATAATTTCTCACACTGGAATTATTAAATCAAAGAATATGAATATTTGGGGGACTTGTGATATTTAACGTGAAATTGAACCAGAATGGCTTTTTTGGTTGATGCAGAAATGTACTTAGGAGTTGAAAGTGCCCATTCCTTTCCACCCATTATTATTAGTCAGGTTGAACCATTTTCATTTATATAGACCACAGAGTCCTTGAGGCAAAATACAGGGATTTTTCATACAATTTATAACTATTCCTAGTTCTAAATCAGGTGTGACTGTCTCAGTACAACGAAGTACACTATTCAGTAATGCTCACAAAACTCAGAATTCCCTTACATACAGCAGTGCCTATCTTAGGACCATTTCTCATAAGGGATTTCTAGATTAACTGACATCTTCAAACCAAATACCACACCATTTCACTTCTAATTTATTGATTTTCTTTTGTTTTATATTTAGCATTAACGTATTGGGGAGATTGCCATTGAGTATCAGCTACATGCCACTCTTACATAGCATCTGTACCTCACACAGTGCCACCGTTAGTTTTAACGTTGGTTATGTGATTAAGATACACGTCCAAATACTATGTAGCACCAGATATTTTTCATAAGATTATGCACAAAACCTGGGGTGGAGGTGGGTAGTCATGCTTATTGGAATCTGTACAAAGTCTCATATTACAGAGGCTTCTCTTAATTACATTATTTCAAGCAAAAGTACATGTCATGCTATTTGGGCAAAGCACTTTACACTGACATCTCCATCAGTCCTGCTTTTGGCCTATTCTGTATCTTCCCTAGTAGACTCTAAGCTCCTCTGGCTTTGCTCACTGTTGTATCCTCAGCCTTTGCACAGTCCTGGGAAGATAGTGACTAAATATTTGGTGAATGAATGCTATGAAGCATATACTGGAAATTTTTGTGTACAACAAGACAAGTACCTTAGCTTAATTTTTTTCAAATAGTTAACAAGATGGCTCCCACTTTTCTTAAACACTGATTTACCCCTTTCCCTCTTGTTGGAGGTTCAGCGTTATTAGCTACTGAATTTGTGTGTTTACACTCTGGACTGCTTTTGGCCTTCATATTCTGTTCCGTTTTCTCATTCTTTGCTGAAGTATTATTAGAATATGTATTAAACATTGTTGGAATGAATCAGGTCTATCTAACTTCAGATATTCCTTTACTTTTCAACTTATTCAAGAAAACATATGAATCACTTTATTAATTCCCTTGGGGGGAAAAACTTATCTGTAATTTTGATTGTAATTACATTAACCTAGTAAATTAACTTGCAGAAAACTGGCATTTTTTTTTATCACTTTGACATTTTTAATCCCAGCTTATGGAATATAACTGGTCAAGTCTGGTCAAGTCTTTTTTTTCTGACCTCTAAAAAAATTTAGTCCCCTTATTAGTTACATAAGTAACAGAAAGTCTTCACTAGAGTGGATTAACCAAAAGCTGCCACAAAGGTTATATTCGCTTTGATATAAGTTAACAAGGTTTCTTTACTTTTCTGTTTTCAGAAATGACTTTAATAAGAGACTTAATGACTTGCATAAGGTAGAAATTACTGTTCCCTGAAAGTTTGTAATTACTCAGCTATAAAACCATCTGTGCCTTTGTGGAGGAAGATTTTAAATATCTTTTATAATAGTTAATACTCTACCCAAGGTTTCAGATTTTTCTTGGGCCAATTTTGATATATTTGCATTTTTCAAAAATACATTTCAAATGTATTTCCCAGGCATTCATATTTCTTTACATATTTTATAATATAATTTTCCATATGTACTATTTGTAATACTTTAAACAATAAAATTAAAAAATAAAGTACTGAAATCTTTAATATCTATAGTTACTCTTTTATTATTTCTTTTCTTTATTTGAATAGTTTCACTTGTTAGTTCTTTTTTTCTAGAATTTTATCTGTAATGTTATCTTTTATGTTCTTATTTTCTTTTTAAATTAAAAAACACTTTAAAAAATTTTTGAATACTTATTTTATTCCTACCAATATCTTTATTTGTCATTTTATCTCCTTTATTGGTATTAATCAATACCAATACATTTATTTTTGATAACTCCTGCATTCTGTAAGTATTTGTAAATATAATTTACATGTATAATTTTTTCTGAATATTGTTTTAGCTACATGTCAGAATTTTTTACATTTAGAACGCCATTGTCACTTTGATCTATTTTCTCTTGGGATTTCTTCTTTAACAAAAATTATTTAGTGGAATATTTTATTTTCTAGACATATGGAACTGTATTTTGCTATTCTTTGGTTATTGGGCTCTAACTCTGGTCAGAAAAGATATTCCAAATAATAGCTATTTAGAATTTTCAAGGCTTTTGTAGCTTAATTCATAAATAGGTTTGTTTAAATATTCCTCATGGATGCAAAAAACACTCATATTCTATTTTGGGTGTGAAAATTATATGTTTTTCATTTACATAAGAGTAATAATACAAACACATTTTTCTATAGCCTAGTTTGCATTTTGTCTTATCAACTAATTCTGAAAAGTATATGATAAATCAAAAGCTATAGTCTTTTTCTTATAATTCTGTCAATTATAGTTTTATATATTTTAAATCTTTGTTGCTATGTACATATATGTTCAGGATTGTTACAACTTCATGGTTTATTGCAACACCTCTCTTGTAGCTTATGATGCATTTTACCCCAAATTCTAATTCATCTGATTGTAAAAATTCAACACTGCCTTTTTTTTTGCTTCATATTTACTTCAAAGCACCTATTTTCTATATATTTTTTGTTTTTAGTCATTCTGTACCTTCTTATTCAAATCCGTTTTCTATAATCCACCTGCTCCTAAATCTTACCTTTGTACTGACTTCCCTGGGAGTCTTTGTCAGCTAATGGGTGAGTTTAACCCATTTATATTTACTTTAGTCACTGTAATATTAGAACTTAAATATGCTGAATTATTTCATATTTTACAATTTCCATCTTTTCTTCTTGTTTTTGTTTTATCTTTTTACCTATTTATCATTAGATACATAAAATTTTCATCTGCTGCCTAAAAGTTAAACATTTTATTCTTTTTTTCTAGAGATTTTTTCTGAGTTACTTTCACTCAACCTTTAGTTATTTTCTCCCAGCATTATAGAAAACAGATCAATAGCTCTGTCATTACCATTTAACAAAATAATAGCCATAGCATACTCTCATCCACTTCTCCTCTCTAGTTTTTCTGCATTTCAGGAGTTTCAGTTAATTATATTTATAGGTATGCCTCTTTAGAGAATACGTAGTTCCTTCGTACCTGTACTCCTTCCCAACTTTAATAGGATTTCAGTACTGCCCTGATGTTAATTCATCATTGTTCTAGTGCTGCTCCTTTACCACATGGGACCAGAGGTTAAGTTAGTGGCCAGGACATCTAAACTCCAGAGCAATGAAATAGATTGTCTT